TAATCCTCACAAGGATCCTGAGAGGTAGGTATTATTACAGGCTGTATATTGTAGATGAGAAAATGTAGACACAGGGGGGCTAAGTGACTTCTGCAAGGCTGTATAGGTATCACAACCTAGGTGTGCTGGGTACAACCAGGTCTGTCTGGAAGGCACACGTTATTTACCACCACACTTACTAATAAATTAAGATAGCGGAAGGACTACAGACAGGGATTTATTTTCCCAATTGTGTCAGTTTATCTAAAAACAAACAACCACAACAACAAATCTGATGGAGCAGGCAGAGGAGGACACGGCTTAGGACTGAGAAGTGTCAAGGAAATGACATCAATGCTATTGTGAATGTGGTTATTTTATTAAAAGTAACATTCACTGTAGTAAACGGCAGGTGAGTGGACACTGAGCAAGTTATTTTTAGATAGGCTTCTAATTATAAGTTTCCGATTTCAAGTGACCCAGATAGCTGATCAGCTGATGCTGTTAGTCTCCAGCTCCTGCTGCTCTCAACTGTAGGAAGCAAACCTAGCCCATTGCTACACACATGCTATAGACACACACACACTTGATCTTGCTCCCACTCCTCACCAAGGTCCTAGTTCCACTAGTCAGCTCGGGAGCCTCCATAACCGAAGCCAGTCTCCCATCCACACAGGAGCTGAGCTAATGTGAAAACAGAGGACGCCGGCGAGCCCGAAGATCGACTGTGACCTCGTTTACTTGGTATCTCCAAACACAACAGAGCCACGCGCCCACTGGAAGCTCTGTCTTTCCCAACAATACCATTCCCAAAATATTTCTGGGAGTCCTCACCTGTTTGTCCCCTGAGGCCCATGAGGGGCGGGACCTTTCTTTCTTTCTTTTTTTTTTTTGTGAGGAAGATCAGCCCTGAGCTAACATCCATGCTAATCCTCCTCTTTTTGCTGAGGAAGACCGGCTCTGAGCTAACATCTATTGCCAATCCTCCTCCTTTTTTTTTCCCCAAAGCCCCGCTAGATAGTTGTATGTCACAGTTGCCCATCCTTCTAGTTGCTGTATGTGGGACGCGGCCTCAGCATGGCCGGAGAAGCGGTGCATTGGTGCGCACCGGGATCCCAACCCGGGCCGCCAGTAGCGGAGCATGCGCACTTAACCGCTAAGCCACGGGGCCGCCCCGTGCGGGAACTTTCTAAGTGCTTGCACCTTCTTCTTTGGTGTCCTGGGGACCGTGCTTACAACCTACGCCCTGACGGCAGCCCCGAGGCCCTGCTCTAGCGGCTCTTGCTCTCCTGGTCCTTCTGCTCTGTTGTCTACTCGGATTGTCACTATCCTCCAGACTGGAACCTCCTGTGTTCCTGTGGACCGGCCAACCTCCTCTAAATGGCCCCCAGCTCCACATCTCTGCAAACCCTTCCTCTGCTTATGTCTCGTTCTTTCATTACAGGGTCACTCTCCCGGCCCCAGAACTTTTTATTCTGGTAAATTCAATTCAATCAGCATATATGGCTGCCTACTCTGAGCAGGTGGTTGGGAATGCAGTGATGGATAAACAAGTCTCCATGCCCTTAGGAACTTACATTCTAGTGGGAAGAAAACCCCATAAACAGATAATTTCAAAATAATGTGGTAATAATATACAAAGATGTGCCCAGTTTAAATGAGAACACAGCCCATCCTGCTGGTTCAGGAAGGCTCTGAGAAGGAAATTATGTCTTTCAATCCTGAAAGACGTGTAAGAGCTGGTTAGCCAGATGATGATGATGATGATGAAGATGATGAGAAGGAGAAGAAGAAGATGGTCCAGGTAGAGAAGATGGCATGCACCTAGGCAAGATGGTAGATACAGAAAAAAGACAAGCAGTTCAAAAGTGCTGGTATCTCAAACGTGAAGCAGAGTGGGCATCAATAAAGGAAGGGGCACATAGGAACAATATCGTGGGAGGTTTTGCAGTGCCATCTTAGGAAGCTTGGATTTAACTCTGTGTTGCATGGTGTCTTAAGCTCTTTACATCACAGAGGGTGATTAAAATTATTGAATTCCATGGCCCCTGTTTTACCAAAAAAAAGTCTATGTGCATACATATACTCATATAGATAAAAAGACACATACAAATTTGCCCACGATTTCAGCCACCCTACCCACATCCCCAGAAGTCAGCCCACATTTAAAACTCTGAAGATGGAGTTAGGGTAACTGGGTGGTGAGGGGGATCCCTTGAAGTATTTTAGGCAGAGAATTCCATGATCACATGTTTTAGTTTAAATACATTACTGTGAAGTTTCACAACAGGCAAGTCTGGAGGCAGGGAGTAGAGTATAAAGATGTTCTGTGTTCCAGCAAGAGATGACATGGCTGGGACCCCGGAACTGATGGAAAGGTTTGAGAAGAAGCTAGAAAACAGCAGGTCTAGGTGAGTGAGTGAATGTGAGCCATGAGGAAGAGGAGGAGTCAGAGCAGACTTCAAGTTTCCAGCTGCAGAAACTGGGTGAACCAAATTGGATAGAAGGCTAGTTGAGAGGAGGAAAGGTAACGAGTTTGTTTTGGGACATTTTGAGTTTGAATGTCCTTGGGACAGCTGGGTGATAGCCAGGTAACTGGGTAAACTAGTCTCAAGTCCCGAGGAGAGGTCAAGGCTGGGAATACAGATTTGGGGGGTCATATGAGAATCTACCAACTTGATTTTCATTGCACTAAAATACCATATAAATACCAAGTTCTAAAAATTCAGAAGAATGTTTTATCTTTTTCTTTTACTTTAACATAATTTCCCCCGGAGCAAAATTTTAAACAAAAAACAAAGGATTCTGCACTTACTATCACAGTATTCCCCTATCAGAGTAGAAGAAAGGACCATGGACACCATGATGCCACAAAGAAACCGAGTTAAGATCCCAGATTGGGTTCCCTCCCCTCTCACTGAAGCACCCCTTTCTTCCCTTTCACCTTACATTCCCATCCTACATAAATCCAAGTTAAAATCTGATGGGATGAAAAGGAGAGCCAAAAAAAATCAGTCTCAGATCCTAGTCAATATTGCAATAGCAAAACTTCTTCTATATTCAGTTTTATGAAACATGGAATCAAATCATTTTATTGTGCCAAAATGTTAGTAAAGGTAATAATACATTGTTGGTATTTTCTAAGCTTCCATACCTGGACATGAAATTGACTGTGGGAGCCTTCTAAATGGTCTCCCCCACAATCCATTCTCCACAAGCAGCCAGCGTAATTTTGTAAATATTAATCAGAGCATGACACTCTCATGCTTAAAACCGTCCAATGGATTCTCAGTGCTATTCAAATAAACCCCCAATTCCCACAGTGTCGGGCCCCACCCTAATCACTTGTCCCCTGTGCTCTCTCAGGCCCTCCCTGGTTCCCTCTTCAAGCCTAGCTTTTTCCTGATTGAGAACTATGGTGTTTTCTTCTTCCCAAAACTCGCAGCCCTCAATATTTCACAGAGTTGGCTCCTTCTCATCTTATCTTTCCTGTGTCACCTGAAAAGTCCGCTCCCGACAAAGGCCTTCCCTGACTCCACTTCTAACCCCTAACCACCTACTCCACTCTATCACATTACCGTTTTATTGTCTACATAGCACTTATCATGATCTGAAATTATGATTTTTGTTTGGTACACTTGTTTTGTTTTTGCATCCTTGTTTATTGTATACTGGAGCCATGAAGGCAGCCACTTCATTTGAATCGTTCCACAGCACTTAATAAGTGCTTAATAAATATTTGTGAAATGAATGAACTAATTGAACTGCTATCCTGTTTCCATAAAATTAGTAAATAAATAAGTAAAAAATAAATAAAAAGCGCTCTGAACAAGGATGCCAGTTTCTGTAGCTGCCGCTGGCCAAAGAACGCCTTTAAGTAGCTTACCGACGGCTGGAGAAGACAACAGGCCCTTGCGACACAGCGTGTAAATGCTAACCAGGAGGTAAATACAGGGTCTTCTGGGATCACAGAAGAGGAGCGTTATCGTGTCTTAGGGGGTCCCATAGGGAGTCATAGGCAAAGTTAAGTCTGAAGGAAGAGTGAAGGGGTGGGGGAGGAAGGGTGGAGGAATGTGGTAAACGTCTAGACAGAAGGCACAGCAGGTGCGAAACTCTGCTGCAAGAGATGGGCATCAGCGATGTCAAGTAGTTCCCTGTTCCTGGCGCATTCTCCCAGGGTAACCGGAGGAGTCGATGACATCACAATGTATGCGAAGGTAACTTAACATGTAAGTTATTATTAACAAGCGCAGACGTGGGTCTGCTGGTCACTTGTTACCCGATAGAGTCTGATAGTCAAAGAAAAAGGAAGGATCGTTTCGGAGAGGGACTTCGAGTGAAGGCTTCTGTGACTTACACGCTGGATGCTGGCGCTTTACCCCGACCTTCTGCGCTGGTTGGGTAGCGTCCACCTTGGTGGCCGAGCGGGCGGGGGGGGGGGGGTGTTGCCTTAACAACGCATCTCTCATTGGTCTTTCAAAGTGGAACGGATGGACATTGGCTGCGGAGGTCTCCAGAGGCCCGCCCCCTGTCGCTGATTGGATGAGCCGCAGCCAAGCGCCCACCTCCTTCCCTCCGCCGTCCCGCAGGGTCCTGTTGCTTGGCAACCGATTTGCGTCCTCCGGCTCAGCAAGCCCCCAGCTCCCCTGCGAGGCGGAGACCCCCCCCCGGCTGTGGCGCCCACTGCACCGCCGACCGCGCGGGCTCCCAGGTGCGCGTCCAGGTGCGCCTCGAGGCTGGGCCGTGGGCTGGCTCTGCAGTGCCACGCCGCAGTCGGGACAGTGCCCAGGTTTTCCTTCTGGAGGTGCTCATTCAGTGGGGTCAGAGCAGACAAGAAAGTCGCTGTTGTATGCCCAACGTAGAAGCCGCTTATCTCGGGAGCACCCCGCGTTCTGGAGCTCTAGAAAGCGAGTAACTAACTTATGTCAGTTGACTAGGTGTGGAGGGTGACCTGTAACCCTCAGCCTCCTGCCTCAGACTCAGCCCGCGGAGCGTGGGGACAGACCCTCTGCTGCTTTATCATGCTCTGCAGAGCCCACTTCTTGCTGGAAAAAGACTTCCAAGAGTTGAAGGAAAACAATTACAAGGTTAGTACCGGGAACCTGGAGGGACGTGTTTCATTGGGGTACGAATTTCTGAAAAGCAGTTTAATCCCTGTTTGTTCTGTAAAGCATAATTTAGTTAAACCTAATGTGCCGCTACAGTACTGTTATTTAACGAATCTACTTCACTATAACAATCTACTTCATAATAATATTATTACTACTTCATAATAATAACAGGTAACAATGTTGAGCACATTGTGCTGAGTAATTTATGTAGATTTAAGCCCCGAATGTCAGGGTCCATCAGGCAGTAGGTGACCAATAGTGCAGGGTTGTACTCATTAGGCACAATACTGTAAAGTAAGTCCTGTTTTGCTTTACCTGCCGGAAACCCAAGCCTCAGAGAGGTTCAGTCAACATTTGGCCCCAGGATTCCGTCACAGGGTTTTCTGACTCCAAACCCGGTGCTCTTCAGTCTTGGTCCTACTGCTTACTATCTAGTCCACTCTTTGCCATCTGCCGTCACATATAACACAGAAATGCCTTTCCCTTATAATTTTAACACAGAGGAAGACGTAGCCCAGAGTGTCATTAATGAGGTTATCAATGTCCACGGGTGCCACTGGCTGGCTTATTACATATAGTATGGAGAATAAAAATAGAAGGTGGGCAGGGGAAGGGAGAAGAAAAAAGAATAGAAGGAAACTGTCCACAGAAGGAAGGTAGAGTGTTACCGACAGTTGCTTCAGGTGTGGTTCAGTGTAGTTCAGCCCTCACTGGACTTGTTAGGAACAATTACTGAGTCCAACAACAAACATCCCAGAGGCGTGAAGCTAACATTTGATCTTGTTTCTGCTCTGCCTGAACTTTGAGGTTCTCTGTTGAAAGAGAATTCGATGAAGGGAGAAAGGATATGTAAATATAGATAATGTGGATATTAGAATATATTATAATGTTTATCCAGACTAGCACCTAACATACCTAATAACTATGTGGTTGCTCAGAGATATTTACTGAGTACGTTTAAATGTATTCCTCAGCATAACTGACAAGGTTTTCTATGAAATAACGTTCTTGTCTCTTGGTATTGGGACAATACCTCAAGTATAGGAAACGTTTATTTTTATATACAAACATAATGTTGGAGTTGTGTTTTTCTTCACGAATATTTTTACTTCATGCCTTCCGTAGGGCATCCATATAGTTTTTAAAAGCTTTGAAGAAACACATGCTTTCCAAGTACTTCCTTCTTTTCTAATTTGAGCCTTAAATTGGCCACTGAAGCGTAAGCTGCACACCCGGTCCTGGGCTTTGGGTTCTGCTCGTGACTCCTCTGCTTACGATTAACTTGCAGTTTCCTGTTGCGCGTGTTTCCTGGACTCTACCTTAACATCTGTGTAATAAGACAATATATAACAGCTCCCCAAATCAACGAATAAAAAAATTTATCAGGAAAAGAAAACGTAGAGTTTTTGGAATTCGTCGTAACCTGATATCTGATTTTCAAATCTGCAGTAAATATTTAATCCTTTTTTCTGCTTTGATTTTTTTAAATTGAAGGGTATTTCTGCCTTTCCTGTGAGTGAAGATATGATGAAGTGGGAAGCTGAGATTGAAGGTCTGCAGGACACAGTTTGGCATGGTTTGTGTTTTCAAAACCAATCTACTTAAAAAGAAAATATTTGTACCATTATTAGCCTATCTTCTTTATATGTATAATAAGGTTGCATTATATAAATTTTCTGGAATTCTAAAAGTTTTCACGTGTCATTTTTTCATTATATGGCTTAATTTTTTGCTATTCATCGACATAGATGGAAATTTTAGTTTTGAATTTTCTTTTGTGCTAAATCTCAATGTTATTATGTTTTAAAGAAGCAGACACAGTAAAACATATGAATTCAGAATATCATCTAACAGTCTTCCATGAAATCAGAGAATACCTATGAAAATCCCTACAGGCATCAAAAATCCCACAATTATCCCTCATTTTTTTCTCTGTGCTTCTCCCCCAAATTTCCATAAATCAAATTCTCAAGAATACCGGGCCACTATAAGCTTTAATGACCATGCACTCTTTCAATCGTGGATTAACAAGATAGATTTATTGAGTGAGGTGGGGGAGATAAACATCTAAGTGGATAATTACAGTAAAATGTAATAATGAGCTATTATGGATTTTGAACGGAATGCCGAGGAGGCAGTGGTTAGTTAATTTTGCCTCTGAGAGTCAGGACTGCCTTCCCAAGTAAGTGACGTTTGAGTCGAGTCCTAAAGAATGCGGAAGAGTTTGCCAGGTTTAGAAGGAGGGGAAAGAAATTCAGGCAGAGTAAGCAGCATGGCAGAGGTTTATAGACAAGAGAGGTTCTGGAACAGTGAGTTCAGTCAATATGAGATGTACAGTGAAGGGGGCGGGTGTTAGGGGGATGGAGTTAGTGGGTGGCAAGAACCGGTAGGAAACAGGCTGAACCATAGTGGGATTAGATTGTGAGAGTCTGTTATACTATCTAGAGGGGTCTGTGCACCCTGTGATCCAATTCCTTATAAATAAAACTCGAGGGACAATGGGGATGCCAATCTGTAGGAAAAGACTTCAGTTAATCAGTAAGCATGACACTTTAATAAAAATGTTCATTTCTACTTCATAGGATTACCCTTCCAACTAACAATAAATTTTACGTCGGAGTACAATTTTGTCCCTCCAGTTGTGAAATTTAGAACAATTCCTTTTCATCCAAATGGTAAGGACCAATGAGATTTTTATCATCAGGCACTCTGTCCTTATTATCCTTGTTCCTCATTAGTGTTTAATAATGTTTGTTTTTAATAACTTTGTTGTGATTCTAAAAGTAAGCCTGCCTATAGGGGAAAATATAAAAAGGCAGAAGAAAATTGTCACTTTGAGTCCTAATTAAAAGAGATGCTATTCTCAACATTTAACTAAATTTATTTCCTTTTCTCTGTGTGTGTATGCGTTCTGCCTAGTCGAGGTATTACATATAAAGTTTTGCGTCTAGATTTTTAATTAAAATTACATAATCAGTATATTTCTGCATTATTAAACATTCTTCAAAAGATCATTTTTAATTACTGAATGATACACTTAACCATTCCTGTGTTGTTCGATATTTCAGTTGGATCTAATTTTTTATTATTATAAAAACTGATGCACTGACAAATTAACATTTTAGAAAAAAATAGGTTAGATTGCTACTTCAAGTTCTACACAAAGTGAATTCCTGAGGGATCAAAAATCTGAAAATTTTAAATGCTAAAAATCACAAAATCTAATCCAGTTTTTTATGGGCTTGGTAGGAAGGCCTTTCTAAATACAATAAAACCTAGAAATCATGGAGAAAGCATGACACATTAAACTACATAAACTTTTAAAAACTTCTCTATAGCCAACAACATTATAAACAGACAAAATACATTGACTTGTGCAAACTGAGGGAAAATATTTGCAATGCGTGAAAGAGACTATCTATAATATATAAAGATCACTGGTGAATCAATAAGAAAAAGAACATAAAGCAATGGAAAAATGAACAAGGGCTATAAACAAACATTTGATAGAAGAAACATAACAGAAATAAGCATAAAAAAATTTCCGCCTCACTAATAAGAAAATAAATGCATATTAAGATGAAAAATTGTGATTCATCACTTATGTTTACAAAATGTTAAAAATAACAATATACAATTTTAGTAGGAGTGGGCAGATGTGGGTTCTCTGACATAATGATGACCTTAGTGTGACCTTTTAGGAAGCAATTTGACAATTTCTAATCAGATATAAAATGCAAATAGCCCTAAATCCATGTAATGTCGTGCTTATAAATTATTTCATAGAAATACTAGCACAGGCATGCAAGAGTGTGTTTCATATTTAAAGATATTTGCTCCCCTTAACAATGCTGGAAATGGAGAAAATGGAAATAATCCCAATGTTCCTTAATATAGAAATTTTTAAGTAAAATATCCTACAGCTATGTGTATTGCTTTTATTTATTTATGTTTTTTAAAGATTTTATTTATTTATTTATTTATTTTCCCCCCAAAGCCCCAGTAGATAGTTGTATGTCACAGGTACACATCCTTCTAGTTGCTGTATGTGGGACGCAGCCTCAGCATGGCCGGAGAAGCGGTGTATCGGTGCGTGCCCGGGATCCGAACCCAGGCCGCCAGAACCCAGGCCGCCAGGAGCAGAGCGCGCGCACTTAACCGCTAAGCCACGGGGCCGGCCTTGTGTATTGCTTTTAAACAGAGCAATACAATAGAAATATCTATGAAGGCCAGACTTTATGGTCATTGCCATATCCCTAGAATCTTGACTACTTGGCACATAAGTTGGTGCTCAAGTTTTTTAAAATAAAGATGTCCAGAAATATGTTGATGATTTACTGTTAAGTAAAAAAGCACTTTGAGGAATAAAATATAAAATATAATTCCATTTAATAAAAAAACAAAAACCATGCGTGCACACACACACACACATATGTGTGTGTATGTATATTTGTGCAGACCAGCTGGAAATAACTCTGAAAGTGTCATTAGTAGACAGGGGAGCATTCATGTTTTAATTTCTATACTTTTATGTAATTTTTTTCAAATATATTATTACTTTTATAATTAAAACCTATTTTTAAATGATAAAATTAAATTTACAATACAAAATTGTGTACATTTGCCATTATTTGCTTAAAATAAATACTTAGGAGTGGAATTATGGGTTAGGTATAACAGGGAGGGGACATGCTTCTCCCTCAGTCCTCACCCCTCCCATTTCCACAGAGCAGAGAGAACGTCCGGCATTAGGAGGGGAAGGATGGGGAGACTCGGACGCTCTCCTTTCCCTTCCCCCCTCTCCCAGCACGTCCTCAGCACTCTGTTTCCAACCAGCCAGACCTTGGAACGTACAGCCTCTGTCTCCCCAGGCAGGAAACTCCCGCAGGCCTTCACTTGGAGGCTAGAGTTCAAACCAGGGGGACTTCCGTGGAGTCCGATTAAAGCCGTTGATCAAGTGCATCCACCATCTCAGTCTTATGCAAAGTTGATGTTTTTTCCTTTCATCTTTCATCGCCTTGGTCTATTTCATCATCATATGTGAACTTGGGAGGAGAGGAGTGTTAGTTATTAGCCACCAGACTCCAAAGGATGGCTGTGCACGTCTATGCGTCTGTTTGTCTTTAGACACATAAAGCCAAACTGCCTTTCAGGGATGTTTATACCCCACCCCCCCTCATTTTACCATTCTCCCATCCTGGACATTGAAACTTTGGAGAAATTTTTTTGCCAACTTGATAAGAATCTTGTTATTTTAATATACACTTCTTTGAATACTTGTGAGTTAAACATTTTTCACATCTGTTGATTGCATTTCTTTTTTTGTGAATTGTCAGACTTATTAACAATGTTATCACATGGTCCAAGATATTGCAGACGTTTCCCTTCATTTGTCATTAATTTTTAAATTTTATGCTTTTTTTTTTACATTTGGGATTTTAAAGTTTTTGTATAGTCATATCTATTAGTTTTGTCCTTTGAGATTTTTGCAATTATCTTTAAGCTTGGATGATCCTTCCCCCAAACACAATCAAATCATCATTTTAATATTCTTCTTGTTATTCTATAGTTTTATTTTTCATATTTAACTGTATTCTCTTTTTTTCCAAAATACTGATTTGATTAATTGTGTTGGCAAGCTTCTGCATATCTTTCCAATCTGTGTAGAACAGAACAAAGCTGGCAGGGAGGTTTTGCCATCCTCAATGTGTAGCTGCCATTTCTGGATCTAAGGCATTTACTCTTGTCACCATTTCTAGCCAGTGGGAAGAGGGAAAGAGAAGGAGAAGAGGGCAAAAAAGGTTCCTTAAGAAAATATGGTCAACAAGTTGCACACTTTGCTTCTACTTATAGCCCATGATTAAAACTTAGTCACATGGCCACATCTTGCTAGAGGGGAGGCTGGGAAAGTGATCTGGGCAACCAATTCATCTAAAACCTCGAGGAGGATGGGGGATGCAGGTAGGCAGAGTGTTTCTTATTACAGAGAGAAGAAATGGAAGAAAGGCAGAGTAAATACCGAAGGGCGATGAGTAGTTTGCAACAGTTTTTATACCATTTGTTGATAATCTTTTCTTTCACCACTGAGTCATGATATCACTTTTAACATACAACAATGTTAATACATACTGTGATTTGTTTCTAAATTCTCTTATTACATTGTTTACTCTGTCTAATCTTGTGTCCCACTGCACTGTTATAATTATTGTGGTTTTATAATACAATGTAGTATACTACATCAAAGATCCTCTTTTCACCTTTTCAAGATTTTCTTCTCATGTCTTACCTTTTTATTGCAATATTTTTCTACCAGAGTATAAATGTTGTTCTTATTCATTTATAAAAATTATTTACATGTTAATAAAAGTATTATGAATAATGATAGCTATCATTTTTTTGAGGGTTCACTATATGCCAGGTACTCTATTAAGTACTTTGTTTTACTAATTCTTTACAGTGAAGATGGGCACTTGAATCGTATTTCAGTTCACATATTAGGGAAGTGAGGCCTGGAGAGGTAAGGTTAATTGCTCAGCGTCACATAGCTGATACGTCGGGGAGCCAACGTTCGAATCTGTGTGTGTCTAGCACTGAAGTCCGTGTTCTTTGCAGCTACACCATATTAACTGTCTGTCACGTTCATTGCAAATAATTTTCCTGCTTTGTCGTTTGTTTTCTAATTTTGCCTATGACATTTTTGATGTTTATAAGTTTTAAATAATAATTTTATTATAGGTATTAATATTAATGTATTATTTTAATACAGTAGACCTGCATACTGGCCGGCCTTGTATGGATTTTTTGGACAACTCTGATAAGTGGAGTACAAGCTATACTCTGAGCAGCATCTTGCTTACCCTCCAGGTGAGAACAGATGAATATAATGCTCTCTGTAGTGATTTTAATTGCACCAGTTATTCAAAATATGGGAACAAATGTACACCGCATATTTAAATGTTTAAAAAATTTGAGAAAGTTTATTTAAATCAATAACATTTCTACATCAAGACTATGAAATGGAATTTGAATTGTAAAGACTATTATTTTTAATGTGAAATTGATAGTTAAGGCCCTTCACAACCAAAGAATAAATATTTGATAAAAGAAGATCGTCATTAATATCCAGAGATGAACTATTACATTTTAATCAAAATGTAATTTTGATTATTATCTGGACTACTTGGAGAATAAAGTATTCTGGCTTAATTGCATTTTCTCGGTAATAGAATTATAATACAAATTCCCTTTCTCCCATTTCTTATTTTTAAAAATAAAATAGTTAATTTTCTATCTAGTTACCTTAGTATACTGAATAAAATTTAATCTTTTTAAAGGATTCAATGTTGAATTTATTCATTCATTCATTCTCAAATATGTGTTGAGCATCTGCCTGTGCTGGCCCATGTTCTGGGAGAGACCTTTGAGCAAAAACCGGAAGGGAGTGAGTGAGCTGACACGCAGATACCTGGAGTTCGTCTTTGGGATTCCTTCCAACTGAGTCATATTCCTACCTCCTCCACCTAAGCGAGGATCTGCCTTGAGAATAGTAAAACTGAGTGTTCCCAAGATGTAAGGAGTGAGGGCAAGCCAGAATGAAATGATGAAAATTTTGAATTGCAGAATAATTTAATACTAGCTAAATTGGGGGCTCTGACATTAGTTTGCTTGGCTTCACAGCCTGGTTCTGCGGCTTAATGCCTTTGGACGAGTTTCTTAATGCTGTTGGACGAGTTTCTTCACTTCTCAGTGCCTCAATTTCTTCATGGTAAAATGGGGCTGTTAGTATCTACCTCACAGGACTTGTGAGGATTAAATAAATTAATAGATGCAAAGTACTTAGAACCATGGGCAATCCAAGAAAAAAACTCCTTGAAGCTAGTTCATATTATGATTGTTCTTACTTTTAAGCGGTAATGCAAAGTGACAACAAAGTGCTGTTAGATATATCATGGAAAGCCAGAAGATGACACAATTGTTTGTCTTTATGTTTTTCAAACTTATTTATAAAACAAATATGCCCACACTACAGAAGATTTTTAAGACAGTGGACAGGAAAAGAAAATCACTGATAATCATCAAGATAAACCTTAATCCTACTGTTATTAGCATTTCCTTCTGATCTTTTCTCCTGTTTTTCTGTTTAAAGTCTCTCAGTTCCACGTTCACTACAGGAGTAAGCCCCATTTTGTTGCCTGACAAATAATTCACTTCTCACACCTGGGTGTTAACACACCACATAATCCCGCTCCTGTTCTGTCTTCAGGCTTCTGTTCGCTCACAGTGCTTGCTTCAATTCAGGTTAGAAAGCATTTATAGAGTTCTGAACTCTCCAGCTGCAAAGCCAGCACATCTTGGACCTTAAGACGTGCTCAGTCCAGTTCCCCATCTGACTGGTGACCCATTTCTCCTTCCTCCATCTGTCCAGCAGGCAACTGCTCCCATTGTGCGAGTTCAGTCGAATGAGTCCTCCTCTGGGTTGCCTCTCTTGATTTCCTCTCCTGGGTGAAATTGATGGCTTTGGTTTTTGAGGGGCTTCCTTTGCCCCCAACCCAGCAAGTGGCACTCTAAGCAAATTTCTATCAGAGCCCTGTAATACTGTAATGCACATGCTGTTTCCGTATCTGTCTTCCGCTATTGGACTACAAGCTTCTCCAGGTCAGGAAACAGTCTGGTTCATCTTTGATTCCCCAGTGCCTACCCAGGACAATGTTGACGTTGTTACTGAGTAACATGAATGAAGGAAAGAATCTGAATTTTTACATGATTGTAGTTATGGTATATATGTATAAATTATATAGCCTGTTTCTTTTTCACTTAAAGTTTATCTCAAGTAATTTCCATTTTACTACAGTTAATATTTTCATGGCTATTTAATAGTCCTTTCAAGGTCACTGCTGCCCAATAGAACTTTCTGCACTGATAGAAATTTCCAGTATCTGTGCTGTCCAATATAGTAGCCACTAGTCACATGTGGCTACTGAGCACTTGAAATGTGGCTAGTGTAACTGAGAAATTGAGTTTTTCATTTTATTTAGTTTTACGTAATTAAAATTTAAATTGCCATGTGTGGCTAGAGCCTTCTGTAATGGGCAGTACAAGCATAGACCATATTTCTGACTACTTCTCTTTGAATAACAGATGAGACAATTTATAATTATCACGTTGTTATTCAAGGGAGTGGTACTTGAAATAATGTTAAACTATTTTAAAGTCTATATATACTAATCACTTCTTCCTAAAATTTTTATAATCTTAACTTCTTTGAACATTTGTACTTCCACATATAACATAAAGGTAAATATCAACACCCATCCATGGAATGAATTCCAAATTCTTGGGCTTTAACTTATTGGATATTATAAAATATACCTACTGTTGCAGTTACTGACGCTTCAGATTTTTGTACTTATCTCTGGAGAGCTTCTTATGTTATTTCATACTATCACATGGCTAATTTAAAAGTTGGACTTTCACTTTTTACTATTTTAGCAAGGTGTCTGATTTATACATTTTAATATATTCCTATTCTTAAAAGTCATTAAGTATACTCAGTAGCTTGTGTACACATTCTATGAAAAGGTCTCGGGCACAGTATCAATGTGAAGACTGTTGCATAAACTGCACCAGCTGTGCCTCTCTGAGTAAGATTATCTCCTCAGCCAAAGACCAGAACTTGCTCTTGAAGATGAGTTTCATCTGCTTCCCACCCACTTTGAAAGGTAGAGTGCAATCCATGCTGAATCCTTATTTAAGCAATTGTAATATTCTTGGAAATTTGGTTCAGATGGGTTTTCCAAACAGGAAAACGCAAATAACAGCAGAAAATTCTTGTTGCTTTTGAAATATCAGGTGTCAGATTGCTGCTTTCATTAGTGAAAGATTGCCATCATTTCCATGACTCTTACGCCATAATTAATTATCCTCTTTGACCTGCATCTACACTTAGGTATTCTGGTAGTTACTATTTTAGCTGTATTTTATTATATAGTTTGCATGTTATAATGTTCAAAATACTGAATTACTGAATAAATATTTGCAATTTGGGCAAATGTTAATTTTGAGGTGCAGATAAACAAGATCATGGTCCAGCAGAACTATGAAGTTCTGCATATACTATGGACAGGTGCTATGGTACACAGAATTTTAAAGATGCCCCCCCAATAATTCCTCTGGTTATTCAAACACTAATCTAGGTACTGCATTGAAGAGACTTTGTGATGGAATTACGGTTACTAATCAACTGACCTTAAAATAGGTGGGTTATACTGAATTATGCAGCGAGGCCCAAAGAAATCACATGAGCCCTTTCCAATAAAAGAGGAAGGCAGAAGAGTCACTCAGAGAAATACAGTGGAAGAAGAAGAGGGAATGTGGCAGGAGGGGACATCAGAGAAATTCTCAGCCTGAGAAGGATTTTTCAACGTTTACTGCCTCTGAGATGTGGGAGTCCAAATATAAGGACCCACAAGAGACCTCTTGGAGCTGAGGGTAGTCCCCAGCTAACAGCCAGCAAAGAAGCAGGAACCTCAGACCAACAAATGCTCGGGACTAAATTCAGCTAAAAAACAACCTGAATGATCTGGGAAGCAGATTCTTCCAGACCGAGCCCAGCCGGCCAATACCTTGACTTCAGTCTTGTTAAATCTGGAAAAGAGAAACCAGCCCAACCACCCCAGACTTCCCACCTGCAGAAATGTGAGATAATAAATTTGTGTTGTTTTAAGCTGCTGAATTTGTGGTAATTTGTTACAGCAGCAATAGAATACTACTACCGACACCAAATTAATCATTCAATGATCTGGAGGGATTTTGAGTTGTACATAACATGTGTTTTTGTGTGTGTGTGTGTGTGTGTGAGGAAGATCAGCCCTGAGCTAACATCCATGCTAATCCTCCTCTTTTTGCTGAGGAAAACCGGCTCTGAACTAACATCTATTGCCAATCCTCCTCCTTTTTTTTTCCCCCCAAAGCTCCAATAGATAGTTGTATGTTATAGTTGCACATCCTTCTAGTTGCTGTATGTGGGACGCGGCCTCAGCATGGCCGGGCAAGCGGTGCGTTGGTGCGCGCCCGGGATCCAAACCCGGGCCACCGGCTGCAGAGCGCTCGCACTTAACTGCTAAGCCATGGGGCGGGCCCCCATACGTGTGTTAATACATATGTATGTTTATCCATGATCTAAATATGATCTCATGTTAAAATGTAAGGTTTAATTTTTTAATGGAAATGTTTCAATATTTCCGAATGTTCAGTTCCTTTACACATAAATTCAATTTAAATTTATATAATAGGAAGGAATAAGTTACAAGAAGAAACTTGTAACTTGTTTTGATCCCAATGTTTGGCTCGTGAATGTGCAGTATAAAACCAAGACAGTTGAAGAGTTTCTTGAGAGTAGGGACCATGTCTCATTTGTCTGTGTATCTGTCTCCAGGTAGATACATTGTAGGCATTTAATAAATGCCTCTTGAATAGTGTATGTTGATTTGTCTTTTTGCTCCAAGAAAAGTTTACCTTAAATACTCTATGTTTGTATGTTTTCCTTCAGGTTATGCTTTCGAATCCAGTGCTAGAAAATCCAGTGAATTTGGAAGCAGCACAAATGCTGATTAAAGATGAATCTATGTACAGCCTAATAGTTGTAAGACTTTTCCACCAGCCAATACAATGTAAGAAGTACCTGCTTAATGTTATTTGCCAATTATTGATTATACCTTTAAGGCAATTGAGTGATCTAGCAAATACTGTTATATAAGGGAATATTTTCTGTATCCATTTCAGTAATGAAATTTTACTAAGATCTCTCCTGCTGTACCTCTTTGTCAAACCAGTCAGTGTGACCCTTTTTTAAAGATTATCAGAGATCATAAGATTAGTATCTTTGAATGTTATGGTCATATGGGTGAATGGTGCCAACTGAAACTAGTGTACCCGCCATAAAGGTACAACATTTAATGTTAACTCTTTGATCTATGATGGATGTTTCTCCGATTTCACCTGCAATACCCCAGATCTTACCGATCTGGGACTCCTTTCCTCTTGATTAGCAAAACGTTCAGCATTTTTTTCTGGAGAGTCCCCCCAGGTATTCCTTCTAAGAGTCCAGGTGGAAGTGGCTCTTCGGTCTTTCTGCTCTGCTGACCAGTGTTTTTCTGACACCCTTGGTTTGCTCACTGTCGTCAATACTTCATGACTCAACTCCATCCCTCCTTTGCTCCTGTCCTCTCTCTACGGTTAGCAGAGCGATGCTGTTGGCTCCTTATACCCAGAAGGGTTTGCCACAGTGAGGTTGGGCCCCTCGTGGCTTGGCTTTTCCTTTACGGCCTGCCCCTCCTCCTCCCAGCGTGCGCAGCCACCTTGGACAGTAGCTGGTATCCTACCTCCCCGGTCATTGGGACTTGCTCTCCAGACTCTCTCTGCCCACCTGCTCTCTCAGGGGCTTTTACTCTCAGACGTCTGTTGTCTCTTTCTCCAGCCTCCTTCTGGGACCTGCCAGGCCATTAGCTCGTTCTGTACAATTGTGACCGAGTTCAAGTGCTCCTCCACCGGGCTTCTGGCTCTGATGCAAATCAAGCGCTGTTGATCAGGCATCTTCCTCCATATCTTCAAACATGTCATGATTTTTGCGGAGTTCCTCAAACCTTCCCTGACAGTTTGGAGGCTGGTTTGTACACACAGAAGTTGTCCTGGTTCACTTGGATCACATTTCTGACCTACCAGAATACGGTAGCATCCACTGCTGTATCCTCTGCACTCAGTCAATATTTGTGGAATGAATGAATGAATGAATGATACATACCACTTAACCTTTCATTGAGCCCTACAATACTGTCATCATACAGAAATATTCTGTAACAAAGCTATGTCCATATTCTGGTGAATGGAAATTCAGAAACTGGTTTTAAAGAATTTTCTATAGTAAATTATTCTGTGCAATAGATTTTGTGTTTGCCCCACAGAGAGAAAGGGTGAAAAGAAACCTGAAGAGAAGTTGGCCCTTTCTTTCTTCCCCCTGTTGGGCAGACGTCACCCTTCACTCCTTCCAGTTCTCCAACTTTGCCATCACCCAAGACAGCAAAGCCGCCCAAATTGCCAAATAACTCAGCAAATGAGCAACAAGGCAAATAGTACTTTGGCAGGTTTTCACTATATTCTCTATTTATATTGGTGAAATATGTGGAAATCCAAGACAGTAAACAGTTATCAGCTTGTTTGCCGTCTCAGCCAGACTGGGAGTGGTAGCCTAGGGTGCCATGAAGAGAAAGATTTTATGCAGCTTCATAGGGAAAGCGTCTTGATCCAGTAGAGACAGCTGCTATGGGGGGACATGAAGAAGTGCGGAAAACCCGATCACTCTGAGTTAGACGGTTGTTTGGTACCATGTGAATTTCTGTGAAAAACTGCATCCAATGAGAATTAATTACCGGTAACACCGGAAAACAGGTGCCTGCTAGAATGCTCCAAGAATCATCTCTCCTGTACATTACTATATTAATAAGGATATCTAGAAAGTGCACAGAAGGAATTATTATCATATTTTTACATAACATAAAACTGGAACAGAGAGTTAATTGTATAAATGAGAAACTCAAGAGGCGGCTAATTAAATCATCTCTGGCAGCATTAATTATAGGCTGGAACTGTATCCCCAGTGCTCAGCCTAGTCGTCTCTGGCTGTAGGGGTTGAATAAAAATTTGGAGATGGAATCAATGAAAAAATACACATACGCTTAGATCCTAATTTTACTTCATAGCTTACAACGTGCTTTCACACACGTTTGTTCGTCTGACCCTCAGCCTCTTCCTCAGTGAGGAAGCCGAGGGTCAGCGATGATGGGTTAGCCCGAGGCCACACGCAGCGAGTGCAGAGCCAGTGCTCCAGCCTGGGCATTCCCACTTCCCTGTGCCCCCGAGTGTAATGAGATGGACATAAAGTCATTCACTTGGGATCAAAGAATTAGAATTTCCAAGTACAGAATGGAAGAGACCTGACTTGGTAGCAGAATTTTATTCTATGAAAAAGTTCTTGGGGAGCTATTTGATCACAAGCTTCATGTGAACCAATAGTAGAAAGTGTCCTTCTACTCAGCGTATGTATACGATGATTTTACCTGCCCTGGTCTGGTGGACCCGCCTCTGGAACAATACCATGCTCACTGTGGAGCATCACATCTCCTGTGGCTGAAGAAACTATATATGTTTAGCTAATTGAAGAAAAAATAAAAGGCAATTGTAAAAGCTGTTTTCAAATATTTGAAGGGATTTCCTATAGAAAAGGGAAATTACTTCTCGGTTGCTCCAAAAAACTAAAGCAGGACTAATGTTGAAGCTACAAGTCGGTCGTAGCTTCCCAGGCCTGCTGGCTTGTAGCCACCGAAGTCCAGAATAGGCAGGCTTGGCCCTGCCTTGTGCCAAACATACCTTGAATATACTGGGACTTTTTCCTCATAATCAATGGTCTGGAATTAATTTTGTTATCCTAAGCCTGAATCTGGTATTTGGTATGCAGACATGCAAATGTCTCTCCTTCCCCAAACTTTCCATGACATCTATTCTTTGCCTGAACAGCTAGGCCTTTGCCTTGGTCTGTTAACAAGAACGCACCAAGCTCTGAGCTCAAACCCAGTAGGTGGATGCCTTGGTGATCTTCCCGTATCCTGGCAGCCTCTTCTCCCTGTGGCTTGGAGCCTGTCTCCCTTACTTATGTTGGGGTGCTCACATACACCAGACTGCCTGGTGCAGTCCTGCTATAACTATTTCTGGTACTCTCTCTCTGTGTTCCAGTTTGGACAGTAAATTGTATAGTCAGTGGGATGCCTAAGTGATCTTTCCTAGAAGCAAATGCCACGAGACGTAGTTGCAGCATCCCTAATAGTAAAGTCCATCCCGGTCTCAGGTGGCCAAACAGGAGGAAGGGTTTTCTAACAATTCAAGTTGCTTAAGAATGGGCAAGGCCATGTTGGCAAGTGGTGAGCCGCCATCACTAGAGGGATGCTTCTGTAACCAGGGTTCATTTAGCAGAGTTTAATGGCTGTTCTTCAGGAATGTCATAGAGCTTCTTGCCCAGTGTCGGGAGTTGGACAAGCGGATCTTTCAAGGACCTTCCAAATTATACTTCCATTCATTTATGAAAACTTGGAGGAGGGAGGAGGAAAGGTCTGGAAGGAGACAAGGCGTAACAATGGTTTTGCCTCCTAGATTCTAATTCGTTATGAAGGGATTTCATATAAGCTCATATGTCCTTGTTTTTTTTCAGTTTGTCCTAGTGAATTTTTATTTCTATGTGGTTATATGATCAAATAATACTTATCTTCTGTTTATCATGTTTGTTTTGACATTTCAAAACATAGGGTTCATATAATTTAAAAAATTTTTGGTTGAAAGAAAATACAAGAAGATAAAAATAGTAAAACCGAGTAATAGTAGCCAAGCCTGAAGTCATAATTTTCCTCTTAGCCAGGTGTATTCCTGTAGCTTCTGTTGAAGGAGAATTGTTCTAAGTTTCAGATACGTATCTAAACTACATATAATATAATAACTGACAGATACAAGAATAGAGAAGAATTACAGAAATATTAGGGAGATTATAATACTAATTTGCATTATATACTTTCTAAAAACCTGATAATTGTGCAAATGCATCCCATTCTGCCTGTGGTTAGGAAGATGTCGTCATAAGCATTTGATTCTTCTTCAGTGCAAGCTCCCAATTCTTTCACTGTTGTTTTTTTCTCAAATCCTCATGACAATAGAACAATTTTAAAGAAAATTGTTTCTACAGTTGAAGCAGGTGATGTCTCAGAGGATTTCAGGTTTTGGTTACTTTTCTTTTTAGAGGGAGCATTTGTTGTTGTTAAGTGTAGGAATACCCTTTCCCCTGGAAAATATACTTTCTGGATGTCGGGGGAGAAAGAAATTTAGTCCAGCAGCGCGGCTTGCTGGTTAAAGCCCAGGGGCTTCAGCACCGTGGTTCAGCCCCAATTCTGTTGTTGATGATTCCAGTATCGTCGCAGAGAGCCTATTACCTACGGATGTCATGACACGCAGAAAACCTGAGTTTACCGGGGTGGTGTGTGTGGATCTATGTGCTGGAGTTACAAACTTCTTTTTTCCTGTTTGTATTTCATTGCACCAGGTAGTCCAGTAACTTTTTTTTTTTCTTTTTTTGTGAGGAGATCAGCCCTGTGCTAACATCTGCCAATCCTCTTTTTTTTTTTTTTTTTGCTGAGGAAGACTGGCCCTGGGCTAACATCTGTGACCATCTTCCTCCACTTTATATGGGATGCCGCCACAGCATGGCTTGTGGAGCAGTGCGTCGGTGTGCACCCGTGATCCGAACCAGCGAACCCCAGGCCGCCGCAGTGGAGCACACGCACCTAACCGCTTGTGCCACTGGGCCGGCCCCCTTGTCCAGTAACATTTTAGCAAAGTCTCTAAGTTCCTGTTTTAACTAAAAATGTTAAGTACTTATTTTCTATCAAAAAAATGTATGTTCATAGCTTTAAAAGACAAATAATACAAATTGTTTTTTAATGAAATATAGCAGACCTTGGAAGCCACACCTTCCATTGCTGAGTGCTGCCTACCCCCCAAGGTACCAACAGCTTTCAACACATTTAGCTGTTTCTTCTGGAATTTACCATCATATTTCTAAATTTATTCTATACTAATATTTCTGGGGTTTTCAGTTTTAGATATTACTTACAGGCTTCTTCTGGAATATAAAGATTTGGCTTTTATACTGCCATTTCCACCCACATTTTTCTCTCCCCCATCCTCTAATATAGTTTAGTTACATTACTATCGGTTAGTAAATATTCGTCACAGATAAGCCATGAATGATTATTTTTCTTTTCTTGTACCAATGGCCTGGTTTTTCATTCCCTTTTTTTGTTGTTGTTGTTTTTGCTTTTTTGTTTTTTTGTTTTTAATATCTACCATCTACTTGTCCCCTGAACTTGCTGACAAAGCTGTAGAACGACTCCCCGTACTCAATGCGCTGCCGTTCCCTGTGTAGACTTGCTCCTCGTGGCGCTCTGTCCACCCTCCTCCTCCATTCGGAGCTGACAGTTCTCTGCAGGTATCGGGGACGACCCTCCTGCCCACCTCTTGGACTGGAGCTCCTGCTCCGTCCCTCATGTTCCTCTTGGTGGGTTTGTTCCTTCATGTGCTTGGAGCACATCTTCTAGAAGTTTCCTAGTACATGAGAGCTGCACCTTTTATGACTTTGAAGGCCGAGAAATGTATGTATTCCCCTCTCACATGTTCACAATTTGGTTAATTTTCAGTTTGGAAATAATTCTCTCTCAGAATTGTAAATACGCTAATACCTTCTAGTTTCTAGCGTTGCTCTTGAGAAGTCTGATTTCATTCAGATGTCCAATTCTTCACATGGGCTATGTTTTCTTTATGGAAGCTTTTTAAATCTTTTCTTTATTCCCAATGATCTGAAATTTCTTGGTGATGTTTCTTGGTGTAGTTTTTTGGGTTTCTTTTCCCCTCCCCATTCATCATGTAGGGCATTCCATAGGCTGTTTAAATCTCAAACTCTAATCCTTTAGTTCTGGACATTTTTTTAGGTGATTTCTCTTATAATTTATTTCCCCTCCATTTTCCTCTTCTAAATATCCAAAGATTTGGATATGGGAGCTACTGATCTGATCTTCTAATTTTTTTTCTTTTCCTGAGGAAGATTCACCCTGAGCTAACATCTGTTGCCAGTCTTCCTCTTTTTTTGGCTTGAGGAAGATTTGCACTAAGCTAATATTTGTTCCAGTCTTCCTCTATTTTGTGTGTGGGTCGCCACCACAGCACGGCCACCTACGAGTGGTGTAGGTCCGTGCCCAGGAACCAAACCTGGGGCACCAAAGCAGAGCTCACTGAACTTAACCCCTAGGCCACAGGGCTAGCCCTCTGATCTTCTAATTTTTAAAAATCTATTTTCTCCTACTATCTGTCTCTTTGTTTTTTGTTCTCTATTCTGGAAGATATCCAGAAGAGTATGCTTCTATTTTTCTCCCTGTTCCTTTGTTTTGGTTGTTACTGTTCATGATATTGGCTTTACTCAAATGCATAGTGATCTTTCAGTGTCCATTGATGGACATATGGTGACTGGAAATCGATCTTTGAAAAGACTGGACTCGTTGATGGTTTTGTTTCGTTATGGGATTATTCAGTGAGGACCTGGCCGTACTGTTAGTCAGGCTTGGCTCTTTCTCCTGAGGTCAAGCCTCCAGTCTTGTGCCTGGAGACGGCTGCTGGCTGCTTATGCTCTTGGAGCGGGAAAGGGCAGAGAGTAAGCAATCTTACCTATTCAATCTGGTTTATTTGATTTGTCCCCTGCTTTCAGTCCCTTACTGTACTCTGGTTCTGCTTTGAGCCTGGTGTCCTCCAGGCCCGAGTCTGAGTGACTCAGTTTCTCCAGAGATTAGACATCCTCCCTCCTGCCTGGGCAGTGGTGGCTGACTGGTTGAACAGCATGAGGGTGTGAGTCCTTGGTGTGTGTGCTGTACCTCTCACCCTTCAGAGTATCTGGTACCTCCAATTCCTAAAGTGTTTCTCGTGTTCTGAAGTGCAAATCTGCTTGCTTTCTATCACCCTCCCCTCGTCATGTGGTTAGGTTTCAAATTTCCATGGCCACTAAGACACTTCCACTTAACATCTGCTTTCTGTCTTGAAAAATGTTCTTGCCATCTTTCTTTTGCTCTCCTTGAGGTTTTATACCTTATTTTTTCCCCTTTGTTACCATTTTATTGAGGCTTTGGAAAGAGTGCACATAAAGCCATATTTTCAATCTTGCACGTAAACTAGAGGTCTTTCATATTTTTCTTTACAGTGAAAGATGGCAGCTCTGAGTTACCTAAAGACCCAGACAAAGTTATCAGGTAAGTTTTTCTTTAAATAATTCTATGTTCATTTACGTACTAGAAGGACTATTGATTTAAATTGTTTGTATTTTCTATCATAATTGAATTTTTATTTTTTTTAACTTAGAAAAGGAAGTAGATATCTTTTCCTCTTAGAATACCTTTCTAAAATGTTGTTTTCAGGAAGAATGTGGAAAATTATTGAATTCTTCCTAGGCTATTGAATTAAAATTGAAAGTAACTCTATGAACTTGCCTATTCTTTTAATTTTTATTTTTTATTGTTGAAAAGGAAAAACTGTGTTGTCAACATAATGAGCAGAAACCATTCTAGACTGCAAAAATCCGAGCAATTTAGGAGAAGATAAGATTCTAGGAGAAAGTGGTGAGAGTTAGGGCTTAAGCCCTTGCACAGTCTGAGAGACACCCTGATGATGTGGCATCAGTTCAGCCTTGAACACCGCAGCAAGGTCTAGGTCAATATCCTCACACGTGGTTCTGCGGCATCTCCATCAGCCTTAATTTGATAGTCAGTCAGATGTAGAAAACAGCCGATTAACTCAAGTTGAACTAATACTTGCTTCAGCTCAGGTTTCCTCGAGTAGAAGTTGAGTAAATTAGATAACTTAAGAGGCTTCTGTTGGTGAGAGAATTGGAGAATCGCAGGAAGGCGAGCAGAACCCAGTGAACAGTGCCCTAGGCTGGGATTCAGTAGAGGACGTTGCTGCCCCTTAAACTCATCACTGTGGAGAGAAGCAGCTGACCATGCTGGTACAAAATAGACGTGTGAGGAATAGTTATTGGATGCATAAACACTCTTTTATCACCTGTAAACATGATTGTGCCTAGAATATCACAAACTTCTTTCTATATGTGGGATAATTATTTGCATAACAATGCACCGCCAGCATTTACTGATAAGGCCATAAGAGCAGACCAGAACTTCTGCGGTCCTCTGAACCACACCACAGATAAAGGAAGCCAGAGTCAGGTCTGCTCTGTGGTGCTCACCTAGTGCTAGCCTGAAATCTCTGCAGAGATCTCTAGACTCAGTTGAAGCAAGAGTCTAGATTTCAGTGATTCTCTACACTCCTGGTACACACCAGGCTGCAGTTTGCTATGTGTCTATGAACTTGAGTGTTCACCCCGGTACCTTCGTTATGGGATAAAGCTCATTATGATACTGGCTGAAGACAAGGTTGACATAAGGGAAGCCATATTGTAGAAAAGAAAAACTCTATTGTAACTTTGAATGACCTCTGAGAAACCAACCCAGCTGGATATGCACCCTCCAGGAGATCTCACTGCTCTGTAGATTTTATGACCCCTGCTTGTTCATGTATCTCCCAGCTGCGATAAGATGATAACTGCTTTTTTGAGTTCCTTAGGAATGTGATGACCCCCGAACAGAGAATCTATGCTGATAGCCATCATCAGTGAAAACTGAAAGATCTGGTGTGACACTCCCCAGTCTGTAACACCAGAAGGTCAACATTCCTAACCCCCTCCCCAGTAACCCACTGGCCTATACAACTGCTGTAAGATTTCGTGCCCCCTTAGGATGGTTCTTTTGGACATGAGTCGGCCATCTTCCCTCTTGCTAGCAAGCTGTAATAAAAATGTCCTTTCTCTCCTCCACCTTGCCTCTTGACTACTGGCATGTCTTGTAGCGAGCAGAAGGCCCCACATTGGGCAGTAACAATTATGTCTAGCTATTAGTTTTCACATAGAGCATCCACAATGGGGTCTTGCAGGAATTATTCAAGGAGAGATGCTGCTCTTAGCATGGTCAGTCTAGCCCCACATGCTAGAACTTTACACGGCTCAGGAGCTGGGGGAACTGACCTGGCTATGGAAACGGATTCCAGAGGCATGGACAGGTGATTGAAACCTTGTTTCCAAAAGATGTAACAAAACTTAGGCGAAGTCCGGTCAGCTGGGTAGAATAGAGACTGGGGGCTCCAGTTGATGTGCAGTAACTGAAGGTGGTTTAAGCTCGGGCTTGTCATCTGGGATGTTTGCACATGGGCTGTAGATACCACACGGCAAGGTCTGGGGCAGCCTCTGCAGGCTACTTATTCCCTTACTGAAACGCATTCACTGAGCATATGCTCAGTGCCAGGCCCGGTGCTCCAGGGTCGGGGACACACACCTGGATAACGTGTGATCTCTGATCTCATGGGACTCATACACTAGTATTAGGAGCTCCCCTCTGAGGAAGAGACAGTGCAAAGAGAATGTCTGACTGTCGGTCCCACAGGACCATATAGGAGCATCAACTACCAGAGGATGTTCTTGGGATGCCAAGGGCAAATATTAGGATCATGGCTAACTGGGGAATGGTAAGGTCAGATGGAATCACATTCAAAATGAGTCATACTGAGCAGACACCTCTTCCCCTGTAGCTTTTAATTTTTTCCAGGCCTCCTTTAGAGTCCTTCACTTTTTAACCAAGTCATCTGTCACTAGTTCCGCCTCTGTTAAATGCAATCCAACTTTTTATTGGGCCATGCCTGTTAATTGTTGTATTACATTAACACCTACAGTATAGTAAGTGCTGTTATAGAGATAAGATCAAGAAGCTGGGAGCATAGAGGGAGAAATACCTTACTAAAGCTTGGTGGGCACGTAAAGGCCAGCTTCCTTCATGCAGGAAGTGGTGCCTGAGGTGATTTCTACAGGTAGAATAGGAATTCACCTGCAGACAAGAGGAGAAGGGTGTTCCAGGCAGAGGGACTAGCATGGAGACAGAAGAGGGCATATTTCCCACAACCTGACCCAAATGAAGGTGTTTTGACATCCAGAATAAAAAGGAAAAATGAATCAGAAATGCCGGGGGCAACCAAAGTGTATCAGGAGCTGAGATATAAAACCAAAGCAGGGAAGGGGAAAGGGGGTTGGTTGCTAGATAATCAAGAGAAGAGAGGAGAATGAGACAGAGAAGGTCAGAATGCTAAATATGCGTATGGGGGGATGGGGGCGGGTGGCTAAATCGTTTAAAGGGGCAGTCACAAGACAAAACCTGAGGGATAGAGACACATATTATGACGTTTCCATTACATATTAAAAGTTCTAAAATAAATGCATGCCTTTGACACAGCACTTCCACTTCTGGAAATTTATTTTTAAGGATATAGTCAAACAAGTGCATAAAGATAGATTACAAGAATGTTAATCATAGAATTGCTTAAAATGAAAAATTGAAAACAGAAAGTCCAACAAAATGAATTAATTAGCTACATTTTGGTTTAGCCATATAATGTCCAAAAAGTATCTTTCAGACGTGATTCTGCAGACTTATTAAAAGTAGGTAAAAAGAGTGGGTTATGAAATATTACATATGGTCTTACACACACGCACGCACACACATACACACACACACACTGAGAGGCCGTCTAGCATAGCAAGTGCAAGAATCCCAGTTTTTCCATTTACCAAACGTGAGACTACGGCAAGTCAGTTAACTTCTCTTCGTCTCAGTTTCTTCATGTGTGAAATGGTAACAATAATAGTACCAACCTTATAGGACTGCTGTGAAGACTAAATGACACCTGGTCATTTCAGTGTGAGCTAGTGTCTGCTGTGATTGGGCTTCTGGTTTCAGATGGTAATCTCAGCATCTACTGTTGTTTGCCCTCCTGCCCAAATCCTAGACGTTATCTTTTTAATATTAAAAGAGAATAATAATGAATACTTAACCATGCTCCCGAACAAGGATCATCTTAGTGGGTTAATAACAGTAAAATTTTCCCAAGAGACTGAAATCAGAACAGCACGTTGAAGAAGGAGCCCTCGGGGAGGGCTCTGTCCCAGAACGTGAGACAGCGTCACATCAGGGGGCTCTGTGCCTGAGAATGTTAGAAGACCTGGGACAGCTGACAGAGGGATTAACTGGGATGTGGCAGCAAGAGCATTGACCCTGTGCATCCCCCAACCCTCAGATGAGGCCCAGCCAGCAGCAATGGTGGGATCTTCTCAGGCAGAAGCAGTGAGCGTGTGAGGGGGGCCTGGAAGGAACACACAAAATACTGACACCAAAATGTTGGCAGTGGTTATTCTCAGTCAGGTGGTCAGAACTGGGCGCGATGCTTGGTGCTGAGTCGGCACAGAGGGAAGAAGGAGAGCCCTGTTCTGGGGAGAAAATGCTGGCCCTTTGGTGCTTTGTGTGGGACACGGAGTCTCATCAGACAGGCAGCGAGGTAGCCGGGTGGCAACATGAAGGCCCCAGCACTGCTGACAGGGCTGTGAAATGTCTGGGAGAAAGATTTAGTTATAACTTTAGTCAGAGGTGACTCAGGAACCATGGTGAGATTACCCTGTAGATGTTGTTTTCTTGAAAAATCGAGATTTGTGAATTAAAAGAAAAAAAGGAGTGAAAAGTTGGGAGAGAGTGATATCTCCCAGGTACCCTGAGTTTCTAGGCAGAGAGAATAACTAGTACACAGACCCTCAACTGGATGTGTTAGAGCAGCAGAAAGAAAGCCACGTGGCTGGAACCCAGCAGGGGGAAGAGGAGCCGGGCAGGAGGTGAGGCAGGAGATGTAGGCAGGGCCACATCACTTCCGTAAGGAATTTGGATTTTATTAGCCTTGCAGCAGGAATTGGGACACAGCTGGACAGCTTTTCAGAAGGGGAAAGACATAATCAGGTTTACATCTTAAAAGGCCTCCTTTAACTGCAGTGTGGGGAATGGATTGTGATGGATCTAAGAAGGAAGCGAGGAGAGAGTTATTGGGTTATTTTAGTGGACCAGGGGAGAGATGATGGTGTTCAGTCTAGGACTGAGGGCGCAGATCTGGAGAGGGAGGAAAGAGGATGAAGTGGATGGATTCAGGGCTTGGTTTGATTAGATGTAGGGCATGAGAGAAAGTGGAATCAAGGATTATTGCTAGGTTTTGGGTTGAACTGGTTGGGTGCTGCTGTGGTTTCTGAGATGGGGGAGATGGGAAGAGTGCACCACTGGTTGAAACTAACAATCCAGTCGGTGGCAAGGAGGCAGAGTCGCCGGGACTCTGCTAC